AAAAGCACACTCCAAAGAGTTTGGAGCGGGCTGAGCAAAAGAAGGAGCTCAAAAGGCCTCAAAACTCTTTTGAGTTGAGAATAAAAAGGGTCTAGGACAGAACGTGGAGACCAGTGAGGAGGCTCTTGCAATTACTCAAGTCAGAGGTGGGAATAGTGAAGGGGTGAGAAATAATCCATTCCTGGACATATTTTGAAGGTAGAGAAGACTTCATTTGCTGATGGATTGGATGTGGGAAAGAGAAGTCAAGGTTGACTCCAAGGTTTTCACCTAAACAATAGGAAAGATGGATTTGCTATGATTTTTTTCATGTAGCAAATTTTGGGTGGAAGATCATGGCTTTAGTTTTGGACATATTAAGTAATTACCTAGATTTTAATGATAAGGAAACCAATGTTCAGGATAATTTAGCTACTGCTGTGATAGAGATAAGGGTGGGATGTTAATTTGGAGTGGGAAGAGGTGATGTAAGAAAGCATCCTTAGAAACCCTCATGCACTGTTGGTGGGATTACAAATTGGTGCAGCCACTGTGGAAAACAATATGGAAGTTCTGCAAAAAATTAAAAGTAGAACTACCTTATGACCCAGGAATTCCACCTCTGGGTATTAATCCAGAGAAATCCAAAACACTAATTTGAAAAGATATATGCACCCCTATGTTTACTGCAGTGCTATTTGTAATAACCAAGATATGGAAGCAACCTAAGTGACCATTAATAATAGATGAATGGATAAAGAAGTGGTACAATGGAATATATAATAGAACATTACTCAGCCATAAAAACGAAGTGAAATCTTACCATTTGTGACAACGTGGATAAACCTAGAAGGTATTATGAGTGAAATAAGTTAGAGAAAGACAAATATCATATATTCTCACTTATATGTAGAATCTAAAGAAGAAAATAAGCCAAAAAAACAAAACAAAAGCAAAACAAAAATAGAAACAGACTCATTGATACAGAGAACAAACTGATCATTACCAGATGGGAGGGGGATTGGGAGGCAGGGTGAAAAAGGAAGGAATTAAGAAACACAAATTAATTGGTAGTTACAATATGGTCATGGGGATGTAAAGTACAACATAGGGAATATAGACAATAATATTGTAATAACTATGTATAGTGCCAGGTGGGTACAACACTAATCAGGAGGATCAATTCATAAATTATATAAATGCCTAACCACTACGCTATATGTAATATTTTATTATTATAAAATAATATTGAATGTCAACTGTAATTGAAAAAAAGAATCCCTAGAGAAGATGACATTTGAGTTAGGTTTTGAAGGATGAATAAGAGTCCCTTAGGCAGTTAAAAAAAAAGGGAAATTCCTTTCTGATAAGGCAACAGCCCGACAGGTGACATATTTGAACAGATTGTTTAAGTCAAAGAAAGTATGTGCTTCAAGGTAGAGTTTCTATTTATGGCTTTGTATTCATGTTAGACAATTTCCCTTAAAGCGAGCTCTCCTAGCACCCCAGTGTGCCCAAACATGAGTTGTTTTTGTTTGTTTTTTTGGGTGGGGCAACAAAAGATTTTCAAATTCCCTTTGGTTCTGGTTTCTTGAACCTGTATTAATACCACTGAGCCTCACCTTCTTTACCCTTTGGGATGACCTGATTCTAAATCCATTTTGTCATCAGATCATCAGAACTTCTGGCCAGAAGTGTCAGTCCATGGAAGCCCTGGCTACTCAGAAACATTCTGAGAGCTGTTTGTCAATGGGGATGCCATGGTGGAACTAAAGGATTTCCCAGAAATCAGGGTAAACTGAAAAGATATGTCTTGACAATACAGCAGACTGGAGTATAGGCATGATGGGGAAGGATGCCAGATAAATTTTGGCCAAGGTCAAATTTGAAGCAATATGGGCTAATGGAAACTCTTTTGGAAGAAAGGAGACAAGTGGTCTTGCCCTGAGTTTGGCAGCAGCTTACAGGGTACCAATGAGCAGTTCCCTTCGCATTTCTGGGCTTCGGTGACATTATCTGTAGAGTGGAAATGATACTATTTCAAAGTATTGAAATATAGATATTGTGATTCCTACAGAATTTTTAGTTCTGCCCTGAGCACTTTTTACTTCACGTTCTGCTTCTGGAAGCACCCGGCTCTCAGGATGTTTCTGAATGGCCAGGGAGGGCTTCCATGGACTGACCCTTCTGGTCAGAAGAGCAGCTGACCCAATTATAAGATGGATTCAGAATCAAATTGTCTCAGAGGGTAAAAGAAGGTTAGGCTTGGTGACATTAAGATAAGTTCAAGAGGCCAGAACCAATGGGAACTTGAAAACCTTTTGTTTTGGGGCAAGAAAACATAGGTTTGTACACAAATGTGGTACTAGAACAGGCTCTCTTTGAGGGAAATGCCCTGACACTGAGAGAAGAATGGGTTGGTGTCTACAAATGCACTTTGAAATTTAATAGCATCCTGTAATTGAAAGGGATTACTGTTATTTTCTTGTCCTTCCTAAGACCTATGGTTGATGCTCTCCTTCTCACTCTCTTCTCCTTCTCTTTTCCTATTTTTCTTTTTGTCATTTTCTCTCATTCTTTTTTTTTCTTTGTTTTAATTGAGGAATTGAGGGAGGGGAACAGTGTTGGGGACTTGGGGAGAGAGACCAGCCAAGTGCTGTTCTTCAGTCTTAGTTGTGGAGGGCGCCAGTTGCCATCTCAGCTCAAGGTGCTGTGTTACAATCTTATTTGCAGTGGGCATAGCCACCATCCCATGCGGGAGTTGAACCGGCAGCCTTGTTGTTAAAAGCGTGTGCTCTAACCACTGAGCAATCCAGGCGGCAGCTCAGCTCAAGCTGCCGAGTTCAGTCTTAGTTGCGGGTGGGCATAGCCCACCATTGAACAGGCAACCTTGTTGTTAGGAGCACGTAGTGTCACCAGCTGAGCCATCCTGCCACCTGCTGAGCCATCCTGTCACCTGTTGGCAGCTCAGTGGCAGCTCAGCTTGGGCGCAGCGTCATTGGCCCATATGGGAATCGAACCGGCGGTCCTGTTGCTCAGAGCTCGCGCTCTTAAGCTAACTCTTAAGCAACTGAGCCACTCGGCCGGCCCACTTTCTCTTTTTCTCCTCTCCTTCCCCCTTCCCTCCTTGTCATTTCCTTCACCGTTTTGTCCATTTGAAAACCCAAACCTAGATCACACTACATATGTCTGTTTAAAGAAAAATAGTAAAGAAAGTCCTAACAAACTTCTTTTGTCTATCATGGATATATCGAGAACCTACCATTTGCGATGTCTTGTGCAGGCAGGAGAGCAGCAATCCTGAACAGGAAGCACCAGTTTTGTGAGAAAGGCACACATGTATTCACTGTCTCTCCCTCCTGAGTTGCTGTTCCCTCCCCCAGACCCACAGCTGCGTTCAGTGGTAGCTTAGCAAAGTATCCATGATCAGCGTGATGGACTGAGGTCTTCAAATTGTATGTGCTGATCCTGTCTCCTCTAATACTCAAAACTGCCCCCCATGAATTTCCTCTTCCTTTTTGGTAGAAAATGGCTTCTATCCTCCAAGGGAGCATCTCTCAACCCAAGTCATGCCAATGGCAAACATTGTGGTCAATGGTTTGTCTATAGAGTTAGAGCTTCAGCAAAAACAATAAGGGTGCACAGATATTCGGTGCCACTGAGGCTAAGCAGATCATGCTTCGGTGTTGTTTGACTGGTTGTTTAATTGAACCAAGGAGGCAGTTCCGGTTTGGCGTCCCTTTGCTTCCCCTTGCTCCAGCCCTTTACCACTCTAAGACCTTCATTAGTGTTACTTCTTCCTCCAGCTTCATGGGACCAGAGTCGCACGGGACAGGACTCCTATGTCCTCATGGCCAGCTCTCAGTCGGAGATGGAGGAGTGGGTTAAATTCCTTAGGAGAGTCGCTGGCACGCCCTCTGGAGGTAAGGACCCCTGCAGGCTTTCCTGGGCAGGTGTCTGTAATATTTCAGGGATGGGGAGGAAGTAGCTCCAGACGTGATCTTTCCTTGAACAATATTCAAAGAAGACGACCAGAAGACGGCTCTGAGGCCATGCTTATTGCCCAGACTCCAGGTTCCCTCCCCAGGTGATCTCAGCTGGTGTCTGGAGTCCACCTGTGAACCCAGGATCTGGGCCAGGGAGGCAGTTCTGTGGCCTGTGACCTGCCCAGTGGGGGTTACAAGAAAAGAAGTGACCTGGATGGGACAGCCAAACTCAGGAGTGCCCACCCCCATGATCCTGAACAGTGGCAACCTATTATAAAACAGATTAGCATAATTTCATGAACCATGTCCCAATTCCTAAACACAATATTTTTTTATGGTGTTAATCAGGCTGAGATGAGGTTTTTATTTACTAAAGCTCTGTTATATGCTGTCCAGCCTGCAAAAGCTTAGCTGCAACCTTCCTTATTTGCTCTGGAGTGTGAGATTGTTGACATTTTCTGTTTTCCCTAGTCCAGTGCTTTAGGCTGTCTCAACTGAAAAGGGTAGTGGATGTTATCTAACTACCGTGTTTCCCTGAAAATAAGCCCTAACCAGAAAACAAGCCCTAGCATGGTTTTTCAGGATGCTCGTAATATAAGCCCCAGTTAAGATCGTCAGCCAGACATGACTGTTTGAATAAATGCAGATTTTTGTACATGAATAAATGTAGATTGTTGGAGCAAAAATTTTTATAAGACCCGGTCTTGTTTTCGGGGAAACATGGTATGCACCTGCTCTGAGTCAAAATACTGCCTTTGCGCTGTAACCAGCATCTGTACCCTGTGCAGTGCTTGGCTGAGCCTTGCCATAGTGAACTGCTGCAGTCTGTCATAAGCCACATGGGGATTTCTCCCTTCCCCCACCCAAGGCCACCACCCTGAGAAGCTAGTCAAGCATATGTCCTGTAGGCAGGGGAAAGTCCAAGGGAAGAGAAACACGAGTGTAGCAGTCTTTATCCATTCAAGAAACAGAGTTGGGCTCTGATGTAGCATTGCAGATGTTTTTGAAGCCTCTCCTTGAACCCAAATCATAGATCTCAGGATGAGAAGGTATTTGAAGACAGAAGAGTCCAGTCTGAGGACCCGGGGCGAGTCAGACATTTGTTCCTCCTATTTGTAAGTCAGGAAACTTTGCTCCTGAAGAAGATTTTTCCAAGGGGTCCAGCTGCCCAGGGTCAGGGCCAGGGCTCTTGCCTCTGTAGACAGCTCTCTTCTGCCACAGTGTGATGCCCCTTGTAAGGCACCCCTAATCTGGGTCTACTAGATCAGCAGTGCATGCCCCCCCCCCCAAATATTGGAAAGTTTCTGGGAATGTAGCTGCTGCCTCGTTGCAGCCCTTTGTGAAACTTTCTATGCCTTTTTGCCCCCAGAACCTGTCCACTGCTCACGACCTTCATTGCTCCCATCTTGTTTGAGGTGCCATGCTATCTTCTCTACATTACAGTCTGTTTTCAACAGAGCAGCCAGAGTGAACCTGTTAAATCTGTCATATCAAGATCCTTCTCCACTCAGCTCTGTCCAATAGCTGCTTTTCTCTCTCAGAGAAGTCTAAAGCCTTCCGATGACTCAGAGTGTACCGTCTGTCCCCACCATCACCTCTCTGACCTTGTTTTCTAGAACCCTCTCCCATGCTCGTTGCACTCCAGCTTCACCAGCCTCCTTGCTCTTCCCCGAACACCCCAGGTGTGGGTGTGCCTCAGAGCCGTTGTACTTACTGTTTTTTCTGTCTGGAATCCTCTTTCTCCAGGGACCTGTATGTCTTGGCCTTTTTCTTTCTTCAGGTCTTTGCTCAAACATCACCTCAGTGAGCCTGCCCCTGATCACCCCATTTGACATTGAACTCTGTCCCCACCCTACTCCCAGATCTCCCTGTCCTTTCCTGCTTAATTTTTCTCCTTGGCACTTACCCTTTTCTGGCATGCTAAGTATTGTACTCATTTGTTTTGTTCACAGTTGGTCTCCCCTCGCTAGAATGAAAGCTTCAATCTACTTTGCAAATTTTTCCCCCCTCTGTTTTGTGTAATGCTGTATTCCAGAATCCAAACAGTGGCCTGATGTAGTAGGTGCTCAATAAATGTTTATTAAATGAACAGGCAAGGGAATGGCCTCCTCGTCCCATAGCATCACTGCGCTCTACTCCTCTAGGCTCTCCACTTAGTTAGTTGATGACCAGTTTATCTGTGAAATTATTCGGTAAATGGGTTGCTCCCTCTAGAATGATCTACCTCCACACATGTTAATGGTGAGCTTTAGCGAAGTTCTTCATGGTTCGTAGACCCCTTAAAGAATTTGATCAAAGCAAAGGATACTCTCCCCAGAAAAATGTTCAGACAAAACAATTTTGCATTCACCTGCAGGATATGTTCAGACCCTGTAGTCCATCTATACACCTCAGGTAATGAATCCCAACTTTGAGTTTTAGGAGTCACTCTAGTGACATTTCTTCTAAGCCAAGGCCTCTTCCTGCCCCAGTCCCCTTTCTGGCTCCCTTTCTCCCTTGATGGGAGAGACGGCCCACATGGCTCTCATGGCACACCCAGCTTCTTCCCCTTGGCTTCTAGTAGCTGGCCCCGAACATTCCTCTCACCTTATCTGATTCTGGGACCATTTCCAATGTGGATGCGGAGGTATTTCCCTACACATCTTAGACACCAGCTGGGTGTCCTACAATTTAACTGAATTCTGACACGGCCTACCTAAAGATAGCATCATATTCCATAGCTTAGGGGCTCAGTCCTAGAAGACTGCCCCCAAACATGCACACACTTCAGATGCCAATCGCAAGGTCACGTTACTACCTGTGCTCCTGACTGACTTGTTCTATAGATCGGAGGTTCCAATGACCCCCTCCTTGGATTCACTTAATTTGCTAAGGTAGCTCACAGAACTCAGGAAAACAGTTTACTTACTAGATGCCAGTTTACTATAAAAGGATATAACTCAGAAGTAGCCAGATGGAAGATATGCGTGGGGCAAGGTATGGGGAAAGGGGCGTGGCACTTCCCTGCCCTCTCGAGGAGCTCCACCCTCCTCACATCTCCACACGTTCACCAACCTGGAAGCTCTCTGAATCCTGTCCTTGTGGGTTTTTATGGCGACTTCATTACATAGGCATTGTAATAAATGCCTATGATTGATCAAATCATTGGCCATTGGCAATTGATTCAACCCCCAGCCCCTCTCTCCTCCCCTGAGTTCTGAGTTGGAGGGTGGGACTGAAAGTTCCAACCCTCTAATCACATGATTGTTTCTACTGGCAACCAGCTCCCATCCACAGGCACTTTCCAAAAGATAAAAGATACCTTTATGGCTCTCATACAGGAAATTCCAAGAGTTTTAGGACCTCTGTGCCAAGAAAGGAGTCAAAGACCAAACACATATTTCTTATAAACCGCAATATCACATCTTAAGAGGGCAACATCATCCCCAGAAGTTCTGGATCCGATTTCAGGTTTTCTACATTTAAGCAGGAGAAAGGGAAGCGAGGAGATCACATCTCCACTTCCGGTAACTTGTTCCAGCGCTCACAGCTGCCCATTTTCTCCAAACCACCTCCTCCTTTTAGTTAGAGGGCTCTGCTTTTCCTGGATCCTTGCACTGAAACCTGGTCTCTGTCCCATCTCCAGGGAGCAGACAAGCCACATTGCAAATTGTTACTCCGTCGGGACCTGCTCTGCCCTCTTCCGCTGGAGGTTGGCCATCAAAAGTTTTTCTCAGGCCATGCTGGGCATATAAGCACTGCACTAAATTGTGCATAGCTCTGTGGGGCCCAGCCAGATTGCAAGAACCTGGGTTAGGTCCCATGTGTTAAGCGCCTTTGTGTGTTTGCCAGCACTAGGCACAGAGAATATAAATGTTGAATTGTTAAATACCTAGGGTTCCTTTGCTTCCTCCTAGTTTTTACAGTTCTCTGTGTCTTTCAGAGCATGATTTCACAATCTACAGCACAGTTTAACTTGTGGGAGTGTGCTGCCTCTGTGATTCATTGTTACTCCATGTGTTCTGGCTAAACTGGACATTAAGAGGGATGATTTTTACTTGTTTTCATTAACTCCCTCATCCCCCTCCCCAAATCCTAACACCAGACATGTATAGATTTATTCACTCACTCAACAAATATATTTTGAGCATGTGTCATATGCCATTGTGCTAGTAGCAGTGGGGGCACAACAGTAAGAAAGAGAGAGAGAGGAAAGAGAGAGAAGAAAAAAAAGACAAAGTCTTTCCCTCAAGGAACTCAGAGTGTAGTAGAAGACAAAGAAATTAATTTATAAAAACCCAAAGAAAACCATAAAATTAGGACTCTGCAAAGTATCACAAAGGTAAAACACATGATACCATGTGGGGGAAAAAAATTTTGTTTGTCACGAAGTTCAGGGAAGCCCTGAACTAGTGATGATTAAGCTTAAGTCTGAAGGGCTAATAGAGGCTAACTAGGCAGAGAAAGGGGAAGAGGAAGTGTCTCAGAGAAATAGCATGTGCAAAGGTCCTGTGACAGAAAGGAGAATAGACTCTGGATTGAGAGGAAGATGATAACAGTGGAGATAGCCTTGTCAAACACGTTGGTCTTCATTCTAAGGTGGCTTGGAAGAGGGTGGTGGTGGTGGAGAGGGAGAGAAGTAAATAGGTTGGTGCAACGTTTTGGAGGTAACATTGCCAGGACACACGAGTGAATTCAACAAGGAAGGAGAATGTGGTATCAAAGATGAGTCCTCTGTTCCTGGCCGGTGAGTGGAGGAATGAACACTTGGTTGGCAGCATCACACTGCCCAGGGCCCTTCCTGGCAACCCTCCCTGCTCCTGCCTTTCAGCATCCCGCACCCCCACTCCCAACCCCCACCCCAGTGATGCTGAGAGACATTTCAAGTCTCCTGGGACTGTCTGGTAGGGTTGCTGCCCTATTTGCTAAATCAGCTCAGTGGGAGGGGGGAAGTCATT